CACACACACACACACACACACACACACACACACACATGCACCTCCTTCCTCTTCTTCTTCATCATGATCACCACCATCAGCACACTCATTTTCAGATCAGCCCTCGCGGATACCACTCCAGCAGAGGCGTTCCCCTTCGCCATCGCTGCCTCCCAGAAGACAGTGCGGATCAGAGACATGCTCGGCTGCAGTGCGTGCAATGCCAGGAATGATGTCAGCTTTCCCAATACTCGCAGGCCAGGACAGAATATATCAATCTGATGACCACAATGCGCTGACGATTGTCTGTAGTGCTACCGGCCTACATCTGCACCAAACATGCAGTGCCGTCACTTGTGCCGGTCTTGCATGACTGACCGACACCCCGGGAATTGAGCCTGGCCCATCAGCTTCCACTACCTGCATGTAACCCCCCTCCCCTGCCTCAATTCTACCCGCACTCACTTGCCAACTCTCCGCCTCTTTCTCCAAACCGCAATGATCCACCCTCCAACCATTTTTTGCTGGAGCCATCCAGCCGACAGCGACCTGTCACCAGAGCACTTATCAGAGCCATAGGAGTCATTGCAGCCAGAAGTGCCAGGTAGTGACCACGAGAGTGAAATGCGCCAACCCCTACCGTGCAATCTTTGAAGTCTGATGATCTCACCATACCACAGCAGGCCATGGCACATACTATGCTATTAATTAATGTATTTCTCCTCCCGCACAATCGCAACCCTATACTTTTTTTTTTTTTTTTTTTTTTTTGCCCCTATACTGTTTCTTACTTTGCCGACATCGTCCGCTGGAGAGAACCTGAACACCATGATGCCTGTCCAGGGGGAGACGGCGGTGCTGCAAATGGCATGAATATAGAAGTGATGTCTATGGCCTTCAGGAAGGCAACTGCACCTCCAGCCTACCCCGCAGAATTACATGCCTAAGACACGGAGTCAGATATCCATAGATTCCTTCCATACATATCGTACATCGTCCAGGCCACTTCAGCGCCATAACCTTTGCGAACCCCATTCATGGGCTCTGTGCGAGGATGGGAGAAGGGCGAACATCAATAGTCACATTAGTGACATTACTCCGGAGTCCATACTATCGTGAGCACGCTGAGTGCCACTCAGTTTGGCTTGTTAATCTGTAACAGAACGTGGTTGCAGGACTGCATCTTGGAGGAGGTGAAGCTCTATCCACTCTGGAAGACAGTTCGGCTGACGCCTTCCCCTTCTCCTCGATCTGATGAAGCTGCGGTACTATAGCCTGCTGTGTAGGTCAGATAGATTCTGCCAGCGTGAGGGAGGCCCTGTAAAGGAACTGTTACTCTGTCATGTCATTCTCCGAACATGCCTGCGTACCATGTGGGGACCACTATGAGGGGATTGATCACTGCCATGAAGGGGCATAGTCTCTACTCTGACAATTACAAAGGGATGATCACCGCCAGCCTCTGCCATGATATACTGTCCTCCCCACCCGCTTATTAGCTGCCCGATATTCGATATTGCCATCACAGCCTTGGCATACCTCGCTTAAATAACTACTATGAGTGTGAATCTGTTTTCCTTTTGTCATGTCAACAACACTATATGTCACCGATGTTTCCAGGTGCGTTGAATGTTCCAGGTTTCTTTGAATATTATCCTATCTGTGTGCTGATTTAAAAATTAAAATTCTAATTAAAATTATTCAATGAATTAGAATCTTAAATATATTACAGTCAAGTTCAGTCAACAACTGTGTTACCAACCGGGCTGCCCGTGTCACCTTGGTTGCCCATGCGGCCCATCCGGGCAAGGGCCAGGGAAGGTCCCTGTATATACGTTTGTTGTCCTCTTCTCTCTCTCTGCCTACGGTTTACCGGGCAGTTCTATTTGTGACGATATATATATAATAATATAATATATATAAGAAACAAGTGCGGTAGTAGCACACTTTCAAACTGTAAAGGCAAAAAAAACACTAATTGGCAACTGAAAAATGGCCGCAGTTCGAAAAGGCAGTCATAACATCAGAAGGCGGTAACATCAGGCCCCGAGTTTGAAAACGGCGGTGGTAGCACCCCTTTTTTTTTTTTTTTTTTTTTTTTTTTTTTTTGGCGAATGTCAGAACATGGTTTTATTTTAATTGCTGGAAACTGGGTCCATCCAGTGTCTCTTACAACACTTTCCACGGCATGGCATGCTTACTTCCATGGTACGGAATTTACGGCTGAAGGATTGTGACGTTATCCTTGCTTTCTGTTTTTTTTTCCATTTTTTTCCCTTTTGTTTGTATATAATACCATAATCACTATTAATCCTCCCAGTTTGATGAGCATGATTGTTTGTGTGGTAATACAAGTAACCGTGCGCTGATAGATCGTCCAAATATTCTGTCCTACAGAACTTCAACATTACAACTCCATTATTCTCTTCACTAGTTGTTAATTACAGTCTCCTTTTTCACATAAACCTGGGGGGGTAGTGAGCAAAGTAAGTACGAGTAACCCATGCCTTTGCTAACGCTGCATCATAAGCATGTTTGGTCTCGGAGTCCCCAAATCATTCGCGCAGAGCAGCGAAAGGCAAGCGGGGAGACCAAATACCTTCTGTAGGCGATCACAATAGTCAACAAGAGAGCTGACTCGGAACTTTCTGTGAATCTTCTTCGAGATTTCACAGTGACTAACCACTCCAGAGTCCAGATGCAATCACAATTATAGTCGACAAGAGAGCCGACTCGAACTTACTTCGAAATCTCGAAGAAGAGATTAACAATGTCGAGCTGCTGTTAATCTTCTTCGAGATTTCACAATTGAGTTACCATAGCACGCTAATGTAACTCATACGCCAAACCAGGAGTTACCCTAACCGACCATAACCATAGCACGCTAACATTACGACTTGGAGCCGCGAATCTTCTTCGAGATTTCACACACCAGACGTAACTCATAAGCCAAACCAGGAGTTACAATCGCCGTCCATAGCGAAGCTATGGTTTCACCCTCCTCCCGCTACAAGCGAAAAGGAAAGCGGCATGAATCGTTTGCATTGTGTTGTGATCGATCGATCGATCATCGCATGCATGGATCATCTTTCATAAACCTTCACCTTTCACTAGCTGGGATTGTTAATTAATGACTCCCTCGGTGAGAAAAAAAAACTTTTTTCTTTTCTTTCTTTTCTTTCTTTTTTTCCTTTCTTGCACAGCGCCCATGCTAATACTCTTGTGTGTATCGCTCCAATGTTAACGTCTGTCCCGGAGGACAGAAAAAAACCTTTTCTGTGGTACATCCTTGGCCCTTGGCATAATTTCTTCTGTGCTAGACTGATAAGCCGTATCTGACAGCCAGCAACTGCCCAAGCTCAGTTCTTTACTTCCTTACACCCCTGCCTGAACTGAACTGTTGTTGAAATACAGACCAGGTGCTGAGTTCGAACTCCACTGGAAGCAGATGAGTAAAAGATGTGTTCGAACTCCATAGCCAGCAACTGCCCAGGCTCAGTTCTTTACTTCTGTACACCCCTGCCTGAACTGAACTGTTGTTGAAATACAGACCAGGTGCTGAGTTCGAACTCCACTGGAAGCAGATGAGTAAAAGATG